AGCGTGTCCCATGGTGAACATCCACCTCACATTCAGGCAGCGGGTAAGCATTCCAGATGAGGATGCTGGAGAGGACAGAACTCAGTCAGGTGCGACACTGTTAAACTTGCCAGCTATGTGCTGGAGAGGGACCTGTGAAGTCACATAACCCGTGTGAGCAGTTTAGCTTTCTCCCTCCAATGAACATTATTTTGTGCTTAAATCACAAAGCGTGACCTGCATCTGCCCTGCTCGCTCTTCAGTACTCTGCTCCAGCTGTCACTGTTGTTCCTCACAGCTGGACTTCAGTCTTGGCTAAACCAAGTAACTTTGATCAGCGAAGCTTGCAATTTTGATGCTCATCCCTTTTTCTAGGTATATTATGCTTGTGTTGGAGCCTACTTTGCACGGGTGCCAATTCCCTTAAAACAGGCCCATTAGAGAGCAGTAGAATTCAATAGTCCTGTAACGTATAATGCAGACCACAAGAGCTTTCCAAGGGATTTGGCAGGGTCAGGTGGTTCTTTGACTGTGGTTGTGAAAGATCTGTTCTCTGAATGGAGTCACCTCAGATTGCCTGCCCCTAGAGAAAAATCCTCTACACGCATACACATGGAAGGGATCATCGGCATTTACAGAGGCCACAAAGGTTTGGGATTTCTTCAAAGAGTTGGTAACAAGATTGTGTAAGAATCAAATAGCCTTGCAAATAGCTGTATCCTATTAGTCATGACAGCAAATGCTGGGCTGAATAAAATGTTTATTGTGGCTTATGAAGTGTCTCTGTACACATAACCTTGGGCAAGACCCAGAAATTCTGGGCTCTGCATTTGAAAGGCAGCTGGTTAAATAGCCATGGAAAAATAATCAAAAAAGCGCTGTTTATTTGCTCAATACATTAACCAAGTGATTAACTGAGTAATGAGGGACGCAGAAGAAAGAAGAGACCTTCCCCTTTGTGTGAAGTCTTTTTTTCAGACTTTCCACCAGTATTACACATTCCTGGAAAACAAAACTAAGCTCGATATGCCTCAGCTCAGTCATGAAAGCTCTCCCCAGACTGAATGATCAGCTCTGTGCATTGCTCAGACCTTCATGCAGATCCTCCTCCCTCTGTCACAAAATTTGAAAGGCAGAGAAATTATTATGGCTAACTTACTGGCCTGTCTTACGATGGGTAAACGTTAATTCAAGAATTCTGGAGGACTTCACACAACCGAACCTGGTTGTCTCCTTGCTATTTAAGTAATCTAATTATTCCTGTATTTCCCTTTTAGCAACTTAGCTTCTCACAGGAGACTGCTTCTGCTACCAGACAATGAGTAAATCTGCTGCAGATTTTTTTCCCAGTCTTATTCCTAATGTAAGCTGAGGCAAATAAAAAATTTAATTCTGTTTGAGAATCTTTGTTCCCTCCTGATTGTCCAGGCTCCCCAATCAGTCATTCCTAAGTTACTGTTCTTCATATTCTATGAGTTATTAATTATTTGTAAATTCTTTCTGCAGGCCTCTCACCTGCTGTGGTTACTGTGTTGCCTCTTAGTTTTGTAGTACACAATGAAAAAATGTTGTTCTTACTCCTTGAGAAAATTATAGAAAAGCATTTTGCCTCTTTCTCCACTGAATCTCTAATTAATGTTTGATCACTTTCAGAAGATCACGTAAGGGTGACCAAAGAATCCCACCACTGCTGGTAATGAGCTGCAGAACAAGTGCTTACAGAGTGCGTAAACTGCTAATAAGTGATACTGCATTTCTAACTCTAGGTGTAGACGAGGAGTAATCCTCTAAAGAGCCATGAAGATACTGAGGGAGTGGATAGGGTGCCAAAGCACAAGACCTAGGGCCATTTGAGATGCTGTAGGATGTCCTTGCTGGCCACCAGCTCCTGCTCTAAGTGTCCCATCGTTCCTGTGTCACATCTGCTGGGTCTGTGCGGACGTCTTGGAGACCCTCAGCTATCTAAAATGACATTATAGTACTTCTGGGCCCCTGATCCTCCCCCAGGGCCTCAGCTGGGATCAGACTTACCCTGGTCACATGAAAGCCAGATTTAGTACTAGCTTTGGAGCTGCAGCTGATCTTTGGGCACCAAAGATAGCACGCATATACCCCCCTGGAACACAGCACAACTGCAGTGCCTGTCTGTGTGTGGGGTCTGGATTGGCTGTACATGCGGTAGCACACAACCAGCCCCACAGTGAGGAGCAACAGGGCAGGGGGGTCAGTCTTCCCTTCGTGCCTCTGGGCAGGTGATGGATTAGGCTGGCAGACACCCCTGCTGGTGCATGGTCCTGGAGAGGTACAAGAACACAGCACTGCACATGGATGAAGGTGAGATGTTGGAGCGGGGGGTTAATAAATGAGTCAGATGTTAATAAGACTTGATGGACCTGAGCTGGCCCAGGATTGTTCTCTAGGTCAAACAGAAGAGCGGGGCTTTTGTGGAAGGAAGGTGTAGACTATCAGGAGCCAGGCAGGAGCCTCTATGTAAAAAGGCAGAGAAAACAACACCTTGTCTTTCAAGTGCACTCAGCAATGAAAACAGCACTTCTACTGATTAAAGCATAATAAATGTAATGAAAAACAGTGTAAGCTATTAGTGACTGCTACCTGTTACGCGTTTGTTTTAAGCCCTTTGAATGCTGATAACTATTTTTTTCCCCTGGAAAATCTTTCTACATTATTGGTGTTTCTTTTACACACCACATTTGCAGTCATCACTTGTAAATTCAAGTAACGAATTCATGAGGAGTCTGGATGGCATAATAATACTATCTTGCACACTACCACAGCTACCACCGGGCAATCCCAAGGTGCTTATCCTGAGAAAGTGGATTAAGCCTCGCAGTACTGTTCTGCTGCATGAGGAGGCAGTGAACGTCCCTTCAGGCAGAACAGAAACCCTTCAGGGCACCATATTTCGGGGTCCCTGGGGCAGAAATGAACTTGTCTGTTTGGTACCAACCCAACGCCTCTAGGAAGTGTCAGGTCCGCTCTGCATGCGCTGTGCAGACAGCCTGCACATGCTCAGGGTATCTGCCCCGCTGGGATGTGTCTGGCTCCCCGCACACGGCGCACGAACTGGATATTGCACGTGCGGAAAGGGGTAGTATGTTCAGTGCTACCACACAACGGTCAGTCGCTCAGGACATGTGCGTTAAGTCTACCCAGTACTTCTAAAAAGCACCAGAATAGCTGGTGGTGTGAACAGTTTGTGCCAGACAGAGCAAGGACTATCACCCTTTGCCGTATATATTCACAGAGGAATAGAACCATATGAAATTACCCCCCTGGAAATGTTGAACTCCATTGCTCACATGCTATGGAGCAGATCTATGCATGTGTTTTAAAAATGTCAAGGGGATTCAGATGTCTGGCATCCTGCTCAGATTCCTATGTATAAAAAGAGTCTGCAATAACCTAGATGCACGCTAGCTCTAATGAGAGCACAAAGAAGCAAAAGAGTAGCAGATAATTGTTAATCTGTTCACCATGAAACATTCAACAATACAGCTTTGTTGTTATAAATCTGCCTGACTTCACTGATAGTATATTTATCAACACAAAAAAACTGATATTAACGCATTTTTTATGAAAGGACTAGCAAAATGGATTGTCTTACTCTCAGATAGCGCTAAAATCAGGTTAGAAAGGACATCTACAATTCTAAGCACTTGAACAGCTCACTAGCTCCAAGAGGACCAGTCACACTTTTAAGTATGTTGCTGAACTGGAACCTGATTCACAAAGCAGGACCTAATACCACCGGAAATATACTGTACTGCATGCATTTTCCTCCACAAACTAAACCGGGAAGTAAAACATTGATTTCTAGCACATACTCTATTCCTCCATCATTGATGCAGCTAGATCCCTGCTGAAGTGTAAATAGTCACTGAACTACTGAAACCTTTGTAAAGTTGTAATGGAAAATGTTAATTTTAATGAGAGACACACAAATGGCTGCAAAACCAACAAATCAATCATAAGTGGGCAGATAAACAAATATATTTTTATTTTCATTTCAGCGATCTGTGTGGTCCAGCAGTGAACTCCAATTTTGAAAGGAGTTAAATAATGTTTTGCAGCTGGTCAGAAAATGGAAAACCATTTGCAGAATTTTTAAAAATCACAGACATTGTTCTAGTATTACAGCGGGAGAAAAACCCCAACAGATTCTTGAAACTAATTAGAAATAACAAAGGCAGTCTTTAATAGTACTCAGAGCTTTACCTGAAATATTAAATGCACACATCCATCCATCATAAAAATTACAAATGTCATGAAACTGTTTACTACTGAGAAGGATTAGCTGAAACGTACATCATGTTACAGTGCCAGGTAAAATGAAGGAAATTCTTTCTGCAAAGGAGCTGTATACAGTTTCGTCATAGGGTCCCCTTCATGTTTGCTTAGAAAAAAAGAAATAGAAAACTTGCTTCTTTAGTCAAAATTCTGTTTAGGGAGTGAAGGTCTAGGGAAGATGGAGAAAGAATGAGTCGGTTCCTTCAGCCATCTCTCTGCTGCATTCAACTCTGCGGAAGCTGCTTTACTCCAGTTCCACAGAAATATCCTCCTGTGCCAGCCCACAGGAATGTCATGGAGGAAGATAATGCTCACAAGGTCGCTATATTTTCGGTGTCAAACAGGTGTGGGATTTGGAGGTTGGCTGGAGGACAGAAACAGGAGCCAGGATGCCCAGGAAGTGCGGGCAACCAAGGCAAACTAGAGCCCTGCTGCTCTGCGCACGCTTCCTGAGAGCAGCAATTAAACGGACAGGTTTAGGGAGAAGGTTACGTCTGTCATATTACACCATACGTGTTCCAACACAGCTATGTGTGGACTATGCTATGCCTATGATGCTGGTAGAGCCAATCATTAAAGTACAACCTTGGAACATTTTCCGTGATGCTGACCACTAGAAAGGATAGCCAACTTGGAGCATCGAGATGAAAAGCAGCTTTCGCAATGGTGTTTAATGTCTTGAACATTTTCACAAATATAATGCAATGTTATACAGCTAACTACACGGTTTTATTAAAGAATCAGTCATTGCCTTGATCCTTCCTGAAGAAGATCTACGTATTTGTGGACCAGAATATTCTGCCGATGAGGAATATTTTTCTCTTGGCAGGAATCCAAGCTTCAGAATGTAGGCTTTTGTAGCTGTGGTGAGTAATCTGTCAGCAGGGAAACCATGACAGCCTAGAGAAGGAAGAAAAGAAAAATCCAATCACATTGGAAACAGATACTCCATAAAAATAAATAAGGGGGAAATATTTTCCAGCTCTAAAGTCTTGTGTTGAAAATTATTGTCCTGACAAAAACTGCACACTTAGATTTATTTGCTAGAATTTCTGATAATGAATCAGGAAAGAGCTGAAAATCAGTTAGGGTGTTCTGTATCATAGCTGATAGGTTTTCTCAGTGCAGACAAAATATATTAACGGATGGCCTAGGAGAAATTCAAAGCATTTAGATCAAACACTGAGGCCTTTTGGGCATGTTATATTGTACCCTCAGCTACAGCTACCCAAAGAGCAAGTGGGCTTGCAGAACTTCCATTAGCATCAGTGAGAGCCATACTAGAACAAGGACTTTGACATTTATCCCAGTTTAGCTACACTTTCTGTGGTAAAACATGGAAAATCCTCACTGAGGTTAATAGCGTGTCACCTACCCTTCCTGCCCTCCCCTAGTACTCCAACAAACCTTAGGTATGGCTGAAAATGAGAGTAATGGGAATGTCAGCTAAATAAAACATGGTGTTGCAGCAGCTCTGCTGTCCTCCCTACACCTGTGTACATGACAAGCCCCGTGCTTGCCTAGTTTTGACAAAGTATTCTGGTTCACACCATTGTGATTTCACAGTGATGTCTGACTGCAAATTGTTATTTTGGCCCAGAACTGGACTTACAAGGGTTCTCCAAGGGCTGTGGCCTTGTTGCTTGTCCTTCCTATCCCCTCAGCACTGCTCAGCGTGACAGGCAGCCCCAGGCACACGCTGCGGGCTGAACATACAGCTGTGCAGCCCCTCGCTGCTACCCATGTCGTAGCTGCACTCAGCCCTGTTTGGAACTACAGCTGAGCAAATAATTTCTTTTTCGGTTTGCTGTCTGAGCTGGAAGTGTAAAAAAATAATATCTAAATAAGACGCATACATTCATTATTTGTATAGCTTGATAAAATACAAATGTGACATTTTTCCTACCCCCCAAAAAATGTGCAGCTGGAACCCAAAGTAAAAGGGTTTATTTTCTTCTTTAAAAATAACATTTAGGGCAATCACAAACATTGCAAAATCAAAATAAAAAATATGAGCACTTTTCAGAATTTTAAGGCAAAAAATGTTAATTCAACACAAATTTGTTAATAATTTCGACTGTGTCCAAAATCTGAGGTTTTGGTAAATACAATACTCAACCACTTATTCACTTGGAGCACAACCAGAGTTCATCTGGGAGCTATGACAATGTCATTTCTAGGGTTTTTTTCACCTCTGAAGGTTTTCACTAGCTTTTATCAACATGATGGTCCTAAAGCCAACAATAAATAACAGGCTACTGAGATCTGGCAGTAATTTTCTGGAATTCTAGGAATGCTGAGGGGAGAATTATGGTTTATGTTAAATGTCGAGTGTCCTCTCATGGTTCCCATGGATCACACAGCATTACCCACACCATAACTTTTCAGGGTCCTTCAAAGCTTTGCTCTTGCAACACTTTCTCAGGAAAAGTTCCCATTGGTGTCAGTTTTTCCTAAGAGAAAACTGCAGAATCTCTAACTTTAAGTGTTTGAGAAATTGTAGTTTCTAAGACCAGTTCCTGAGACCTCAGCATTTAACATGTTTTAAAAATGAGAAGCTAAGTTAATCATTAGAGTAAACCCAGTGATTCGAATACCAAAAATTTAGAGTTTATACTGTAGATTTCATTTAGTGATAAAAACTGGGTCAAGTAACAGCAGATTATCATCAAAATAGATCACGTTTGTGTCAAGAAGTATTTGTGCTACATATATATGTTGCCTATAGTCAAAATTGTGGTGTGCTGCTGGGTGCATTTGAAACATATGTATTACATATTTACTATTTACTGAGGAACCAAGCTGAACCCACATCTGTAGTGTAAGGGAGAACAGAAGGTGACCCTAACCTCTAACTACTGTTAACCTCTTTTTTATTTTTACCATAATCGTCCATTTTCTGTTTTCAGCCTCCTGGAAAACCAATGACCGTGGAGAATAAAATACTTCATCATCAACTTCTTCAGGTTTTCTGGGTAAACAATGCAAAAAAGTCCAGTTGGAAGCAGCAGATTTTGCAGTCTGTAGATCAAAAAGCATATATAAATAAATAAATATATGAGGACATTAATAAAATCTTTAACTAGTAAGAAGGTTAGCAAATTTTGTATTAGCTCCCACTGTAGTTACTTGGATGATGAACTCAGGAGAATTCCTTATATTTGAGTAAGATGGGAATATCCCCATTATATCAGTAAGAGTTCAGTGCTGACTTCACAAAACCCAAATATTGACTCCCATTTCTCTGGCTTTAGTAGGGGAGTAAAAAGTCCAGTGATCAAGTGGATCAACAAAGTGCAATCTTTATTTGAATGCCATACAGTAGTGTACTATTGATGATCACAATAAGAACATACTAAACCATGATTTTAAAGGCTATAATTTTGTTTTCTTTTGATATTGTCAGTCATAATATATTGATCTAATACCAATGAACAATGAATTAAAGTATTTTAGGCCAGTTCGGAGACATACCCATCACTAGTATTTTGTGAATTTATGCTAAAATGCAGTCAATTAAACCAGTATCAGCAAGGAAAATGTCCTTTTTATCTTTATGACTTTACGTTTTCTCTAACCGATTTTGTGCTGATAAGCATTTCAGCTAGATGATTTTAAAGACATGTATTTAATGGTTTATTCATTGACTGATACACACAAAATTGCCTAAAATGTTTCCCAGGCATTTAAGAGTTAATCTATGTGCTGCTCATTCTAAGTAAAATATAAGCAATCATTTCTGGTAGCAGAGAGGAAATGCAAAGTTAGAAATAGTTTTTAGGTCATAAAGAAGTACAGGGTTAGCTCTCCTGCGCATGTTCTGGAGTTAGATCTCACTGGGAAGCTTTGAAAGAGGCCAAGCCATACGAAGTATATAAGATAACTCAAATTTTGTCATCTTTGTGAGTTTTTCAAGCTGGAGGGAGGTTTGCATGTGGTTGTTCCATGGCCCCGCTCAAAAATATACCAAACCCTTGCTTTGCTGCTGTTGATTCTCACAAATGCAAACTGTAAACACATGAACAAAAAACTAAATCCTGGGTTTTACCTGCATTGTAATCTGATAACCTTGAAATGCCTTCAGTCTTTCTTTCTTTTGCTCTTCTTGTCCCATACTTATCCATGTATCTGTAACTAAGACATTGGCCCCATCTGCAGCTTCCAAAGGATCTGTTGTGAGAAGTAACTTGGTACCATACTAATGTAAATAAAATAAGGAAGATCAGGAAGACAAGGAACTTCAACTTCATTTGTAATGCAAATAAGTTCTATTCAAACTACTCTAATAGGCTATTTCTTAGGGTCCTACCTCTTTGGAGTACTGTTCAGTTATTTTAGTTATTCTGAGGTCTGGTTCAAAGCCCTGCCGAAAGAGATGACAGGTGACATATCATGGAACATATATAAGATCTTTGCTGATTATTAACGCTCGTCAGAAAAATACTAATTGAACCATTTGCCATGGGAAGAAGAACAGCTTTCAGAACTGTAAAACTTGAGGAAATTATGTTGATTTTGATGAAGTTTATTTTGGAAAGAAACTGGTGGAAAGTGTTCTGATAAGGTAAGAAAAATGTATTTCAACAGTTACAGAATGAAATGCCTATAGACTGTTTATTTTTTTGTTCTAAACTGATCCTTTGGTTTATATTTTATATTGTATTACAATGCAACATTCTAGAAAGATGCATCACCAATCCAAACCAACCGAGATGCAACATTTCCACCAATCTGAAACAACTTTCAATTCTTTTTTTTGGAGGGGAGAGGACATTGGCTGACTTCGTAACACTTTCTCAAATGGAATTATCATCCTATGTGATTTACACTGCAGTCATGAATTCTCTCAGCCCTTCTGAAATTGTAGAATTATTCTTCCTCTGCATCAAAATAACTGCATCAGGATTCTGAACCTTGGTTCTGAAAGCTGGCACTCAAGATACTCGCAAGCACCACTAGCTGAGGCCCTTGGGAAGTATCCAAGTGGCTGAGACAAGAATGGGCAAAGTTTGCCTTCCTTACTCCATGCACATCACCCTGTTACCTTGGGAGTTGCAATGTGCAGGTGCATTCCCAGCTTTGCAGCACTCATCATGATGGAGTGGAGGACGTTGTTTCCGTCCCCAATCCAGGTGACAGTAAGCCCGTTCAGCCCACCATAGTGCTCCTGCCAAATAAATCAGACAGTCCTGGGGTTATATTCCAGGTGAGCTGAGCAAGATGATGCCCTAGGTAGGAGGGATTGATCAGATGGGTCTGGTGCAAAGAAGGCTGGCTACCTTCAAACACTAGCTGCATGGAACCATACCTTTAACCGAGCTTCTTGGAGCCACAAGATGGTTAGAAAGGGAAAGCACCCCATGTGTTACGTGAAGACCCAAGTGCTGCAGCTTTCCCCAGTGAAGGACACAGCACCAGACACGCAGTAACTTTAGCACCAAAGCCGTACAGCCATGGGTTGGTGCTCATAAATATCAGTGAATGGTAGAAATTCTTAATTTACAGGCAGTCCTAATGCCTAGGAGAGCACTCCTTCCAGCTTTCTCCCAAATTGTGAAAATATCCCTATTCAGGTATGCTCTGGCTTAGTTGTCTCCGCATGATGTCCCCTGTGGCCATGGCAGTGGCCATGCCCTTAGAGCACAGTTTAACCATCACAGCTGTACAGCACAGCAAAGAGCAACACTTTGAAAGCAGCTGTGCCACTCATGGCCTGCAGGGTTTGCTCTCCGTTGTACAGCCAAAGAGTGCAGTGATTCTTTTAAAGTGTGGATTACTCAAACTTGAAAGAGCACTACAGCGTTAACTGAAGCTTTGCCTGATGGCACTTACAGCCTGTGCCTGTGCAGCTAGTCTGGCCATCAGCCACCAACAGATAAGGCCTAAGAAGGAACAAGAGGCCCTTTAGCAAGCCTTGTTTCAAATATGCATGTTTATAGCTACTTATGTTGATACCAGAAAGTTTTCGAAGACATAACAAAATACTTCTGTGTGCCTGCTCTGCACAACTCCTCCTCATGACTTGGAAGACTAAAGACACGACGGAGAGCCTTTTATTCTTAGTTCAAAACTAGGCCATGCTACAATTGCATTGTAGTAGCTGGAAGCCAGACAGTGTTTCAACACTTTTTGTGACACGATTCGATGCTTGTCAGAGAGGATAAGCATCCACATTGTAGAGCTGGCAACCTTGCAGGCAGTTGCAGCAAAGATGCCAAAAGATTGAACAGGAAAAGCGCTGGGACTACCCCCTCCTCTCCTGGCAGCAGCTTCTCCTAGACAAATAGTTGTGAAGTTGTTCCAGAAAAAAAGTTATTGGCATTTCTGCCAATGACCACAATTTTGAGTCAAAAATAGTAGCACTTGAAATATTGAATGACATAAAAATGCCATTGAAATCTGTCATGGATTGAGGCTGGGCTGGCCGCTAACGAATGACAGATGCTCTCTATTAATCCCTCTCCCCTCCCAGAAGGGGAAGTGAGAGAGAGTAAGGGAGAGAGACTTATTGATTGGAAAAGAAAACTAAACCAGCTCTAATGAAACAGTAACAATAAAGGAAAATATAATAATACTAATAAAAGAATAATTACATCTATACAAATATATACAGAATCAATACTGAACTCAATCCCCCTGATGACTACATGTTACCACTGATGCTGCAGGGCTGGCACTGGGGAAGTCCCAGGCTGGACTCAGCAGCAAATGGGAACTGTATTCAGGAGCTGTGTTCAGGAACTGGACTTAGAACACATGGATCAGGATTGAAGGCAGAAGAATGGACAGAGCCCTCCTCTGATGCCGGCCATTGAAGAGGAGGGCTTAACCCTTGTGATCCCTCAGCTTTATACTGAATATGACATATATGGAATGGCATACTTGGTTGGTCAGTTTTGGGTCACCTGTCCTGTCCGCTACTGCCCACAAGTTGACCTTTTTACTTACTTACAACCCTTTTACTTATGTCACTTCAACATGGGACACCAGATTTAGCAGTGACCTTGGTTTCTATAGGAGCAAGTATAAGCAAGAGCCTTTCTACATACCATTCCTCAGTAATAACTAGAAACATCAAGCACTATCACTACTAGAAGCTGACACTGCCTGGCAAAATATGCCATTAACTTCAGAAAGTGCAGTTACTTAGAAGAGACTTGGCTGAAAAGTAAAATCACTGAATAGGATTGGTTCTGTTCTAGCTCGAACCAGGACAAAATCTAAACCTAATAGAGTCCTAGGCTGCCTACAGTTTAAGGGCTAAAACTATGGTATTGCAAAACTGTCGCTTTTTCTGTTGAAGTTTGTTAGCAGCGGGCTCACTGGCAGAGGTTTGATGCAGGGGCATTTACAGGAGAGCAAATCAGAACTTTGTAGACGTGGAAGTTATTACAGCATAACAGCTCTGCAGGTCTCTAAGGATCTTTCAAAGTCCTTCCACATCTCCTAGCAATGGTGCTCCTAGGAGAAGGCCAGACTAAAGCATTTATTTAAGTGGTTGTTTCCAGCTAGGGCTTAGTGATAGCTGAGACATGAACCCACAGCCAGAAGCAAACGAGAGAGCCCTGAGTTCTTTTGATCTTACTGTTTAAAAATAGACATTGCAGCCTGTAGTGCTCAAAGCAGTGACTAGTGAATCACAAACATACTGCTACGTTAAATAACTTCCACCTTATTACCAGCTGCTACTCCGCCTTAAAAGAAGCACAGTGCGTACTAAATACTTTTCTCTGTTTTCCCAAGCTACAAGCTGTTACAGATAGAATACGAAGTATTGGAGATGTCTGTATAATGACCCCTCAATATGCACTGCAAATTGCAAAGCCACATCTGCAGTGACTACTCTATAGAATGAACATAGCTCAGCTAATCTTAATGAAGACATTTAGCTGACAGAAAAAGTCACAGACAAAGCAGAATCAAGCTCTGTGTGTGTGCTAGTGGAGCCTATTTTACATCCTGTGCTAAGCTTTACGCTGCCACTGGTACGCTGCTGCTGTAGCTCAAACCTCTTCATCTAAAGCCAGCTCACTATGATGGTGACTGTACTGCTTATATGGATACATCCTCAGCTTCCAAGAAAGATGAGCTGATTGTGTTGGTCAGAACCAGAAAGCTTTGAGGCAATACTAAAGCTACTGTATATGAGACATGCATGTTTTTTTTCCTGTGTTTTGTAGTATATGCTTATACAACTGCACAGACAAAATCCTACTAAAAGTGTTTTGCCACAACTGTAACACCTCTGAAGATATTTTTCCCCTTACAGCCCTCTGCAGTTTTTCCAAACTCTGTTATACTGATGTAAGCTTTTTACCTGCTCGGGTGTTAGCAGTTTCTCTTCACATTTGGAATCTGATTTCAAAATATTTACACTCCCAGTAAAGCCATACAAAAAATAACATATTTAGAAAGCCTAGAGCCTTCCTCCCTTATGAATGCCTCTTTGGCAAACTGTAGTAGTGCCACAAAACTTGGCTTTCTATACTCACAAAAACTCCTCCTAAATAATTAATGTAATTTTTACAGTCAACATTCTAATCTTCATGCTGCTTTTAGAATGTTTTGTTCTGTTCTTACCCATGGTTGTGGTGTATCACTGTATCAAACCCTGGGAAAAAATAAGCATGCTCAGTGATTTAGCACCACTGTATGTTTAGAGAAGACTGGTTTAACTAATTAGGGACATTCGTGTCTGCTTCTGCCTGGACACGCTTCTAGCTAGACTGAAACTCTGACACCATTATAGATTACTTCTGAAATGTTTGACCACAACAGTCATAACAGCCCTCAATTAAAGCTTCTGAATAATGAATCAATAATCTGTCAAAATTTGAAATGGAAAGCAGAGGACTAGTCAAAGCTTTAGCCCTTTGGGAGACAGTGCAATCCAGTAAACGATGAACTGGGCAAACTTGGATCTATCAGCTCTCAAACTGAGCTGATGGCAGATGCTGGGCCAGTTATCTTTCTTACTCCAACACTGGTTTTTGTCATGGTTATTGAAACAGTACATTCTAGAGGATCAGTCTGGATCTTAGTTGGGATTTCTAATTGTTCAAATAATAATGATGAAGATGATGGTGATGAATTTGAAGACTACAATAATTTGAGCTCTTTGGGTCACACATCGAGGAGAAGTTGAGAATATATGGCAGCCCTCTTCAAGCTAGGCAGCACTGTAATTTGTTACGCTACTTAAAAAAGAATCACTGATGTATTTCTCACGCCAACCATTTCTGAAAGAGAAATTTCCCTTCAGACCAGTGACATAAAAAGCTAGTGGCATATAGATCCACTCTAATTACCAATCTGACCGTCCTGCAGCCAGCTACACGTTAGCTGATTTGGCCAGTGATGTTAATATCAATTGAATCAATGTCAATACCTGGTTTGTCCCCAGAATACAAATTGTGTGATGCTGCCCTCCAGACAAGGTTCGCAGAGCAGAAGTTGTGAGCCACAGCTTCTGCCCAGGAGACTGAGAGGCACTGGGTAAACTTAGCAAGTGGCTGTTACATGCCATCAGCACAGATAGACAAGTAGGGTGGCTCTGCACGTGCACAGTACCAGCGCACAAGCCCATACTCTTTGAAAGCCAAATCCCCAAACGCTCAAGATGAGGTTGCATGGTTACAACCGTTTCTAGCGGGTTATAACTCAAGAGCAAGCTCAGCTCAACCCAACTTTTAAGAAAGGGGGTAGCACATATGCTAAGAAAAACATGCCTCTTGGTGTAAGTGAGGGCATTAATCCTGACCACAGTATTAAAGATCAGAGCCAGCTTAGGTGTCAAACGTGTGAGGGGCTCCAGGTTGCTCAGGAAAAACTGAGCAAGAAGATGTTGATCCTGAAGAATCTCACCCCAGTATTCACGAGAGGAGCACACGTTATGATCTGACAAGAACACCCTGAAAAAGAACAAGAACTGACAGCCCTGAAAATAAACAGACTATACCAAAATAACCATACTAAAATGCACCTGTGAAAAGGGAATCAGGAGCCATAAGCAAGAAGACATTCTGGCAAAACAAACAGGAAATTAGAGTTTCCAATCAGACCAAAGAGAAAGTGCTCGAAGAGGATTCAAGAAGGCACATGACTAACTAATAGGATTTAGAAAATGGAAGAATAAAAATGCTAAGCATGAAGAAGGCCAGAGTGCATGTAGTGCTCCACTGGCAAAGGCAGCAGGAGAAATAAGAAGAGGGGGGAAAAAAAGTGCATTTTGGATATGTTCTAACAGCAGAGAGGAGCAGATCCAGGCAGGAAAATATTTACAGAGATAAGGAAGAGACATTTTTAAAAAGAAACAAGCTGCACAAAATCTGTAGTTACATTTAAATACAAGGCTAGCAGTCTGTGCCACTATTGTCATTTGCATGTATGTATAAATCAAATAAATTGCCTTTGCATTGCAGGAAAGCAGTCCAAATGTTATATATAAACTTTCAACTTATTTAAAAAATCAGTGGTACTATTCAACATCCCTGTACTAATCTTCTTGCAGGCAGTACTCAGATAACATCTCTTTACCCTGCTGAAAAATCCCATGAGAAGTTTTGTTGCGGTAAGTAACAACTAGACCCTGTGGCTCACACTTCTTCAAGTGTTAATTCTGTGACGTGGTAAAGTTCTTTATATGATTAAAATAACGTTTTATTACATGTTACTGGCTGTAAGACCAGTCTTCTTCACCTCAGTGTACAGTGCAGAGAGGGAAAAAGGCAGCAGACGGGCAGGTCAGAAAAGGAAAGAGCAGGCAGTGCCAACACCCACAGCGCGCTGCTGAGAGCTCCCCCCTGCCTGCCCCTCCCTCCTGGGTAAGAAAGCAAGAATGGAAAGTGGGTCAGAAACCAGTGGTGCAGCGTGCCCTTGGCAAAGTGGGGTGGCCACCCAGCTGCCCTCGAAAGACCCTCTGAGAAATTCTAGGCTAAGGAACATGCCGGAAAGACTGGGGGAGAGATGGGCACAGTGGGAGGAAACAGTGCTCTGCTTATCAGGCTGCCTGGGAAAGCACTGGGAGTTTTAAAAAGCTTTCATGGCTGTCCAAAAGCTGAGCCGTTCCTTGAGATCTCTGTAAGTGCTCACTTTGTCACGATACCTTTCCACGTCAAAAGTTTCTTTTGTATGAGCACCAACTGTTGTGGTCCTGTTTCCTCATCATGTAAAACGGGCAGGGACACCCTTTCCAAAGACGTCCTCCCCAGCGCTTGATGCAAGAAGGACACCCATTTGCTGTTGCTGCTGCTCTAGGTATTCAAACCGAGCAAAAGTCCAGCCTAGGGGCTCATGTTCACCTGGAACTTCTACCACAGCTGCCCTATACAAGGACACAGTGGGGGAGGAGCAGAGGATGATCAACAGCGCATGTACTCATTCTGCTGATCTCCATATGTTTCCCACTAAAGTCAGTGGAGAAAGAGATGAAGCTCTAGACTGAGATGCTCAGTGGTCTCTTTTCATTGACTGGAGGTGGAGTGCAGGGCAACAGCACTCTGAACAGTGGTGCTGTAGCCAGTGGCCTGGATAAAACCAGGTTTAGGTGCAGAGATATCAATAGTTGTGTAGACTGTGAGTCACAGATTATTGCTGAAGCCTGTTATTCACAAGTGATAAAATGCTAATAAGTAAGGTGTTTGCAAGACAGAACCCCCTGCAAAACACAACCATAAGATTCACCTGGTTCAGTTACACACATTGTTTAAGTGAAATTATGACATTTAATGATTGATAACATTCTCATTACAGTCTTACGTAATTTGAACAGCTCATTGAGGCTGGCTCAATGTGAGCTCACAAATGTACCTTATCCTGAGGTATGTGAAGCATTTTAGTCTCAAGTTCACCAATTTTTGCTGGTCTCTTCAGTTTAAACATTGAAAATTTTACGAAAATACTGATCAAACCAAGGAAAAAGTAATTTTCACTGAACATATGAGTCTTTCAGTATTTAAAGTTTAAGGCATGGATAATGTAATATTACTCTCGCTAGATCTTTTCCACATAATGAATGTCCCATAGCTAAGTCTTCGGCAGCTGAGAAACACAGCTGAACAAATCTGGAAATTATTCTGCCCTCCCTTTTTCAAGCAGTGTGATTTTTATTAATTCATAAAGTAAACAAGGTCAGAGGAGTTCATCATAGTTGTCAACCAGCACTGCAGTATAATAATCTTTTTTATAAGCCAGTTCCTCAATTGACAATAAAACAGCATAGTCCTTCTGTTCACAGATAAACATCTGGGATTCTATGTGCAAAATGTTATCCTGCTGTCAAATCAACTATTTCCTTAGATTAAACTACAAAATACGGGTTTTTTAACTATTCTTTAATGTGAGCAAAGTTTAAGTAGGTTTAAGTGCCTAAAGACTGGGCATTTGCATGGTAGCATTAACTGGCTTTTCAAAACACATTTGTTCAACCAGTTTCTTAATATATGGATAATGATACTTTTAAACTGTTCATAGGTTAGGGAGGAATCAAGAGTGAACTTCTGATTTTTTTTAAGTCACTGGAAAAACTTCCACTGGCTTTGGCTGAGCCGACATCTGACCTTTCTCTTAATATGTAAAGCCCCCTGCACATTTTTGAATTGCAGCCTAATTCCAATGAAGTACTTAATTTCGTGCTTAACTTCAGTCCCACTACAGCTGATAGGACTAGGTAATTGTTTTAAACAGGTCCTTAATTATATTGCTGGATGAAGATCTCTTTAAATAACAAGTGCCATGTAATTACCCCTTAGGAAAACCTAGGAATAAACGGTTTTGAACCTGACTTCCCCAAATACTTACCAAGACTTAGCAAAAAAAAAAAATGTTATTAAATGGAGATATATTTTTACCTGAAGAGTTAGGTAATCAGCTAAAATCTGGAGAGGATGGTATAAATCAGACAATGCATTGATTATTGGGATCGTGGCTTCTTTCGTCATTAGGTCCAGATCATTATGCTTATAAACTCGAGCCAAGATTGCATTTGTCATGCTGGACAGCACCCTAGAGGATGGTAGAAAATACCCAAGTCAAACATAATTAATATATCCCTGTTGCACTCTTTAGCGTGCAACACATAAATATTAATGAGAAGTGGTAATGAATCACATTTTTTCAGCTATCTGAATAATTTATCATGTCTGCATAACACACTTAAATGCAGACATTTAACAAGCTGCTAATAAGTAAGCAGTTCTACTTATTAACAAACGATGGTAAGTAAATTAAAACTGCTGCTGTATTTTATGGGCTTTTTTTCTTTTTAGTGTTTGATTGTAGCTAGAGATGTAACATCAATAAATGTTAAGGTATCTGAACTAACATAAGAGATTGCATAACACTAACATTTGAAGAGTTTGATAACTTAGAAGAGATAAGGTATAAGATTTCTTGAGTCTTTTTAGCAAAGTACAAACATAGCCCTGACTGAATATTACAGTGTCTCTGTACAGTAGCCTGGCTTTTGTGAGGATTAGGAATACAGATCTGTCTTAGGTTGCCACAATTATTTACTGATCTTAATGAACACAGAACCAGCAGGCCAACACCACCAGCCTGTCCTTTCTCTTACCTACACACCAGCACATCGACACACATGGTATCAGCATTAAAAGTAATGCCCAAATTTGAAACTCCATATACGGATAGGGGCATGCAGGGGTCACTGTACCACTCTGGCCTTAACCTCATTTGCCAAAGCATGAAAGACTCAGAGATTAGCAGAGTGGATTAACATAGTATACTCAATGTGCTCACAATTCTTCAGATAAATTAAATATGCATTGGAGCTCTGCATTTCTCTGCATTCGTGTTTTAATCAGGCACTGAAGTCTGACTTTAAGGTAGCATTTTGTGTGTTTTTATGTCATGTCTAAGAGGACCTTAAAACAAAACAAGGAAGAGACTGAATAGAAGAGTATAAAAAAATCCTTGCAGCATCCATCTTCCTGATTACCCACAAAGAATTCTGGTATCTCCTTTTGTGGAAATATGGCTGTTAATGCCATGGCCTTTACACAGACAAATCTCATGACGAAGTCAGTAACAAATATTTTCTACTGACACCAGACATTCCTCACACAAGCAAAACTCTTACAAAATGTTACAAGATTCCCTGTAGAGCTCTCTCTTAAGAAAAGTCTGCCAATAGCAGCTACAAGTGAAAAGGAGGAACTGAACAAGATATTTACTGATTGTGAGGTATTGGAACAGTTGCTGTTTGTGCCATTATTTCTTCTTACTTCATGAGTTTCTTTTTCTCTGTGTGTGTGTGTTTATTCTAGCCTGAAGCATGTGTTTCTGGAAAACCTGTTCTGTTCTGAACTAGTCATCAGGGATGGGATGCATGGTCCTCTTTGTTAGCTGTCCAACAGGTGTCCACCCCAAACAAGACGTAGCCAGTCTCACTAGTCAAGGAAAAGAGGCAATCACACTGTGAAATCGCCCATTTTTCTTAGACTTTTTTTTTTTTTTTAGGATGTCAAGACAGCTGATGCCTACCTGACATGACTGGTAAGGAATTTAAAGAAGATGGTTCCTTCAGATGGTGAAGAGGCATTTAGAGGCAATTCAGTTATAATCAATAACCAACTAGTGAAATCTGCTGGATTTTCTTCCTTAATCTGTTGAAAGTAGATACTAGACTTATTAGTCACTTAACAGCAAGACATCAGACAGTCCTTCTGCCAGCATTTCTAGATGTCATATCTTATAGTAGGAAACCCAGATGGAAACGGGGTTTATACTTTGTGAAATCAAACCCAAATTGAACTCAGAAAAAAAAAAAAAAAAGAAAGACCTCCTCTGAGGAGATGAAGTCTTCTGCAATCAAATCAATTTAAAGGAAACCATGTAAGGCTGGGAATTACACAGGAAAAAAGACCTGGCTAGATAAGAGTCTTTAGCAAGGGTGAGGTTTTGGAAGGTGAGGCAAAGTAAGCACAGGCTCATCAGATGACTTTTCACTTAAGGTTGCCATTTTATCACTAGCTACAAGATCTTTTTCTCTTTTCATTCTTTTTTGCAAGACTATGAGCCTGTAAGCTTCAAAATCCGAGGGCTCTGAAATATATGAGTGTATTGGAATTCTGCATATCTTTCTTTTCAAAATAACTTTTATTTCTACAGAGAAAAGCAGATAGTTTTACTCAAGTGTATCCTCTGAGGAATCCAAAATTAAACACAAATAAAAGTATGCCTGGTGTGGTTGATCTCTGAATTTGAAAATGGGGCATTTGCACATGTTTGGGGTAGAGCATTGCTATCCAAAGTAGTTTTGGTTTTGTTTTGGAAGTATGTATCCATTCAAAAGGTTTAAATTTCTGACAAGACCACTTCACTGTCATTCATGGTCTTACAGCAGCATATGGTGGATGTGCTCTCAGTAAGCAGCGAGATGTAAACCTGTTCCCCACAGATACAGAGATTCATCCCTTAATAATGCCAGTGGACTGGTAAAATCATCCTATGAGTTCTTCAGTGCTGTCACTGAACCTTACGGCCACTGAGCTATAGTGGTGCACAGTGGAACTGCTCTATGGTTGAAAATACAGATACAGTACTTATATTTCATTTCACGTAATACATCAGACATGCTAAACAGCATTGAAAGGCTTAGAGCTCCTTAATGGGTGGCAACTTTTTGCTACTGTATCAGCGTAAATGTAAATGTCTTGTGAAGCATGGAAGAACTGTATTATGAGCAGGTAATAAGTGACTAAAAATATGTTCACAGCAGAAATGCTTTCAACCCTTACCTGCAGCAATTCTAATAAAAACTGGGACTTTTATAGATCTGTGCCCCTTCTGCATTAAGACTCAAGCTCGAGAACTTCTAAGGCCTTCAGAGCCCTAGACACATGGCTGTAAATATTTGAAATACCCTCCAGGTCTACTACAGGCTTTTTTTTATTATTATTATTCTTAGATTAACTGAATGAGGTTGCCATGTTATCCTTCATTCACAAGAAATGCCAAGAAATTAACACTCGTTCTTTTGGGTAATCTGCTCAGCCTTGACTATGAAAAGTCAATAATAATTCTGCTAATGACAGAAGGAGTGAAGCAGAGCACGTGGGGCTCTGTAAGGACTTGGGAAAGCCCTCACTTCATTGTAGCAGTCAAGTGCTGTGACTCAGCAGAGGAGCAAAATCCCCTGGTCAGGGTTGTAAATAGGGACTTGACCTGGAAGAGCAAGGAGTGACAGAGAAAAGGGGGGCTTAGGTTTGCATGGGAAGTGTCTATTGTGCAAGCTTTCTCCATGGAATAGGGACTCCTCCAGAATGTATGGAAAGCTTGCTTACTTCTGCTTTTTGCTTTACTTCTTGTAGCTTACCGTCTTTCTTTTTCCCTTTTGCTTGTGCAAACAAAGGTCATTCAGGAGACTGTGAACCAAAGATTTAATATCCCTTTATTATCCCATTTGGGAAGAAGAAATTAAAACTGGCCTACACAAAGCATGTCTGTTTGTCTATCAGAACACACCTGGATTTGCTGCAGCGTTGGCAACTGAATGGCAGAGAGCCTCCAGATGACAGTCCTGCACTTCTGGTGGGATTGTGCTTGGAGAGGCTATTGCAGGGGAGCACTGGGTAAGGGCCCTGGTCGCATCCTTCCCCTTCTTGGATATTTGGCTGCTGGAGCTCAGAGCCAACTTTGCAACAGTGCAGCTGAGGGCTTCCCCTCATCACTCTGATGTCAGAGGGGAGAGGAGGCTCCCAGACAGCACTGCAATGAACCTCCATCAGGGTCAACCCCTTCTCTTGGGAGTCACATCTCTTGCTGCTTTGTAATCCCCACCTGCGGGCTGATGTCCCAGCCTGGCCTTGGCCCACCCCATTCCCACAGCGATGCCCAATGCCCTGGGCTGTGGCAGCCCCCAGATGCCTCCTGGCTGCCCTGCTCCCCGGCTGGGGACAATAGGACAGGTGCCAGCTGATGAGGCCCTGCCATGCTTGACTCAGGGGAAGTAAAAAATCAGTAAAGCATTTGACACCGACTCCCACAG